GGGGGCTTTCTTTTTTCCCTGGAAAAAAAAAAAAACTAAATAAAAGCAAAAAGCTAAAAGGAAAAGAAGGGCCCGACATGGCAGTTGACCGGTAAAGAAAAGCATGCTATCCAAGTGCGTTCTAGACGTATGAAAGGGCTTTTATTATACTGTAGAATTACCAGCTTAGAATCAAGCTTTATCTTTTCAATATCCGAAAGAGAGGACCAAATCACACATTACCCAAGGTTGTTTATAGTACATTCTTTGGTGATAGCCTAATCGGCGCCTTTCTTCTGCCCACTCTGCACAATTTTTATATTCATCTCTTTGTATACACCCCAGTGCTCACGGCATGATAACCCTTTTTGCCGACCCTCGCCGTTAAATCACTATTCCATCCCTCGCCGCGTAACAGCCTTTCCACTGTCTTTCCGAAGGTATACTTTGGATTCCATCCTAGTTCTTCCACTGCCTTGCTTGAATCATAGACTCGATCGATCCTTGCAAGATGCTTCCACCCTTTCTCCTTGAAGACGACATCCACGTCAGGAAAGATCTTAGTTATCACCTCAGCGGGGTTCCGGCTCAAAGAATCGAGCGTGTGTGCATCGTTCTTGAAAGGTGGCGGGGCGCTTATGATATACTTTCCCCACCGAATATCCTTGGCCTTTCTCATTGCACAAACCGAGGCGCTGACAATATCCTCAATGTCGCATCTGCGGTAGGCCAGTTCCAAAACCTTCAGGTTTTCATCGCTCATAGCCGCGCGACGGTCTTCGTCATCGTCCTCCTCGGGGAAAAAGCGGCTTGTGCGAAGAACTAAAACGGGAATTCCGCTTTGCTTTTGCATCAGAGCGCACATGTCCTCAGCTGCAATCTTCGTGACGCCATAGATGTTCTTTGGCACTGGAACAACAGATTCATCGATCCAAGCGGCGGGGTGTCCTGGCTTAGGACTTAGAGCCATACCAAAGGCGCTGGTCGTACTGAAGAAGACAAAGCTCTCTATCCGCTCTCTGAACCTGGAAGATTCTTCAAGGAGGATTAGAGTGCCGACAATGTTGGTCGAGATAAATTGCTCCTTGCTGTGGCTGTCCACGTGCGGCTTATGCAATGTCGCAGCATGAAGAATGTGCTTAATGGAGTTGGAGTCGAAAATTGAAGCAATGAAGGCGCGGTCACTAACAGATCCCACAAGTGTTGTAGTCGGAGAGGGGAGAATGTCGATGCCCAAGGGTCTGAAGCCCAGAGATGGCAGGCTAAGCATCAGAGCGGTACCGAGATGACCAGCAGAGCCAGTGACCAGGACATCATACGATGAAAACATTTTGAAATGGAGGGTGTTCACAAAGGGATTTATTGCTTTGTCTGTTTCGCGGTAGCATTTAACAGCACAAGTCAATGAGTCAACCAGGGCGCCGAGGTTTCTAACTAGGGCGGAGCTAGCCGTGCAGGTTTCCCACTTACATAAATATTACCTAAGGCAATCGAATCCAGGATACTTCTGAGGAACTTGGATTTTAGGAGTTGTTGTGGAATAGTGTGCACTTCAGCACCGAGCTCGGAAGAGAATTCGGCAAGATAATTTGTTTTCAAATTTGATCGTTGCCACTTAATCCCTCCCTCCCTCCCACTCAGGCCTCGGCGATGCCATCGCAATCCATATAGATCTCCGTGGGGATAATGATGCTGAAGTAACCAAATTGCATAATATAGTGTGATCAGATATTAGATTTGACACACCAGAAAACCAAGGATGGTGTGGCGACTACAGGTCAGCCCACCTCTTCAAAACCTAAGGCTGACGAAGTTGTTAAACACACCGCGTTCCTGTTATTATTATTATTTATCAATCATTTATTCCTCAGCCTGTTATCGGTGTTTCGTCGTGGGTAGCCCCCAAGCTAATGTGCACCACATCATGGTATATGTACAGTGGGTAGGTATGTAGGTAGATTTCAATTACCCCGGTTCCTTCGCCGAAGCGATATGCAGGGTACATTCACTGTATAATATCCGAATACGTAGAGTAAAGTATACTACTTACAGAAAAAAGTAGAGCCTCGCCAAGGCCTGCCCTATTCTAATTATCATCTGCATTAGCCAACGTGTGCACAAGGTGGGAGTAGGAAAAGAGCCTCATGATATCCCTGTCGGAGATATTCACAGTTCTTCAACCTTACCCACTAGGCCCGCGTTACCTGTGCGCCGTCTGGAACATCAGCCCACAATGGACTATTATGCATTCTGATTTAGACTAGTTTAAAATCTAGAAGAATATCCCAGATCTTGCACTTCTAGAAAAGACAGGCAGGCGGGGCTGAGGCCGGCAATAAATATTCTTTGGTCTCTTCGGACGGTGACTTCTCGATTGATTCAACTCATCGACCCAACTAATATACTAGACTGCATGGCTAGCTGCTTTTGCATGGACGAATCAACTTTGACACATTATAAGTTACTTGTTCATTAGCCATCCTCCGACAGTCCGAGGGTGCGGGCGTGGCTTAAGCTTTCTCTTCCACGTGCTCATTGTGGTGGCTCTGGCTAACCGATCTTTGCTTTTCTCCAACAATCTCCGTGAAGGTGATAGTTGGTTTCCAGCCAACGGAGTTCCGCGCGCTGCTGACTTCAGAGTACAGCTCATCCACTTGCTCCAGGGAAAGTCCCTTGGTCTCATAAATCATGAAGTAAACGAAAGCAATACAAAGGAAGCAGCATCCAAACCAAATGAAGAAGATTTTGGACTGCAGGTTTGCATTGCCTGGGCCGTAATTCACCAGGTACGGGGTAGAGTAAGCGATGGCCCAGTTGAGCAGCCAGTTAGTGGCGGTAGTCATGGATAGAGACCTAGCACGAATCTTCAAAGGGAAGATTTCACCAGTAACGACCCTGTTCTTACATTAGCTACCATAATGGTAAAAGGACAAGGAGGACTTACCAAGCAATTGGTCCCCAGGATGCAGCGAAGAAAAAGATGTAGATACAGATAAAGGCGATTGCAGCGTTCTGCGCCGCTTTGTTGTGGACAATAATGTTACCAGCAGCATCCTGGCTGGTGGTCGTCGTTCCCAGGACAGCGACCAGAAGCTGGGAAATAGACATGCCAATAGCACCCAGTAGCAGCACGGGCCGGCGGCCCCATTTATCAATAGCGTAGAGACCAGGGAGAGTCGAAACCACATTAACACAGTTGGTGATAAGGCTGATGACGAATTCGTTCTTGAATCCGGAGTTCTTGAAGAACTGCGTGCCGTAATAGAAGATAAAATTAATGCCAGTCAATTGCTGCAGAGCCTGAAGACCGCAACCAGTGAGTAGCCGCTTTCCCAAATTGCCTTGGAAGCATTCAAGGTAGCTGGACTGGCCTAGGCTCATTTCGTATTGATGGTTGGCTTGGATCTCAGCAATCTCTTCTGAGATAGCCTGATGATCTTCAGGTAGACGCCGAAGCTTCGCAAGATTCTTAGTGGCTTTGGCATGGTTGTCCCTTTTAATAAGGTACCGAGGAGTCTCGGGTAGGATGAGCATCCCAATAATCAACACAAGAGCCCATGCAAACTGGACAGCGATTGGGATGCGGTAAGAGCCGGTGTCATTCCGGCTGTGGGTTGAATTGTTTACCACCGAGGCCAACAGTAGACCAATGGTAATGGCTAGCTGGTAAGAACCGACGATGAAACCACGGATCCACTTTGGCGCGGTCTCGGACTGGTATAGAGGAACTATCATACTGATTAGTTGGAAAATCGTGACTAGATAAATTTCGGGTACATACTCAAGGCTGAAACCAAGCCCACACCAAATCCAGCAAAGAATCTACCGGCGAGGAATAGCGGAATTCCAGTAGCGGCTGTTTGTAAAACTACGCCGAATATGAATACCACGCTGGAAGCGATCAGGCCCCATCGACGACCGATAGAGTCTCCCAAAGGAGCGGCACCGAGAGCACCAAAGAATGTTCCGGCCGACAGGATGGAGACAATGGCAGATGATTGGTTAGAGGTAATATTGAGGTGTCCGGTACTGTCTCTATAGCCGGTGGAGAAAAGGTCTTGCCAGTACGGCATGGCAAGTATGCCACTGATGGTACCTGTATCATATCTTGAGAAAACCGAAGTCAGGTAAGATCAAAAAGTTTTCTGTAGTGTTAGGAGCCTACCCGAACAAGATGCCTCCAAAGGCCACGAAGCCAGAGATGGCAATGGCTGGCCATGATGCCCCGGGTACATCCTCAGGTTTCTTGAGCCAAATTCCCATGATGCTAGTGGAGTAGAGTAAATTGTAGATCTGTGGGACTTGAAGGTGAATCAGAAGAGAAAATTTCCGGGGAAGGCCCGATGCTGCCTCTTATACTTTTCGTGATGAAAGAGCATTGGTTGTTCGGTTGCCAGTCTCGAAGCGCAGTAGACTAGCATATTCTTCTAGGCGTCTGAGCAGCAAAGCATGGTATTGGGTACCCTTTCAGACACTGAAGCCAAAGTTGACGTCCGAGCACTCGGTCAGTTGAATATCTGCGAAGTTTCGCCGGCGCACCCTCATGATCGGGACTCCAATCGGTTGCCTTGGAAGGTCCTCTGGACAGCAGGCAAGTCGGACCAGCCACTTCCGATGGCGCACTGTACGTGAAAGCTAGCACGGATTGAACACAAGTTCGAGCCCTCCCTGTTCGGGTTATTCATGGTAAGTTTAGAAAAGCGGGCGGGGTGGAATGCGGGGGTCGAATCAGCCTCAGCCATGGCCAGTCCGGAGAAGTCCAGAGCCAGATCCACCGTGTTCTGGGGTAAGTTTTAACCGAAATGGGCCTAAAGCTACTTGTACCGCGAGACGTTTCTCCCGTGTCTTCAATTGGTCAGACCACCCGAAGATGGCCCGTTGTTTCTCCATACTCGGCGAATTACCAGTTCCTGGTAGCAGAAAGGACTACCTTGTGACAATAGAAAGACACATATGTATAAAAAGTAACCGCTAAATGTTATTTATGAGCCCCTAGCCTCTGAGGGTTGGAACCATTCTGGTGAGTAGTTAGCATGCGGCGGGATGCCGAGAATCTTCTCTTTCCCAGAACCCCAGAGTAAGCAGCCTGCAGAAACCCGGGAGCGCCTAAATTAGTTCACTTAATCACATAATTCTCGGGCCGCTGTTGGTCGGCATTTGGCGCGAAGGTTTAAGTTTCTCCGAAGAAATCCAGTGGTGGACTCCGCTGCAGGTGCTGCGACATTTGAAAGTTATGCTAGATCCACCACCCCTTAGAGACCTCCCCTCCCGCCTATGGAGAACGACCTCCATATGGGGAACGGATTGTACTATGCACTGGCAGATTCTCAGTTGCACTTGACCACCCACAATTTTCAAACCCCGAGTTTCTCCAGATGTGGTCCCCGTGGGGATCAGTGCCTGAGCACTCGAAGCAAATGGCTCGCATATAAATAACCATTGCCCTGTCGAGCTGGATTCTCCAGGAAGTATTTTTCCACAGCGACAAAGCCTTGTACCATTACCATGGTTCATCTCACCAAGACCCTTGCGGTGGGTATTTTGGCAGGCCTTGCGGACATCGCAAACGCCTTCAACTATGACCAGCCTTACCGTGGCCAATACCATTTCTCACCCCAGGAGCATTGGATGAATGACCCCAATGGTCTTTTATATCACAATGGGATCTACCATTTGTTCTTCCAGTACAACCCCGGCGGTATCCAGTGGGGGAACATGTCCTGGGGCCATGCCACCAGCAAGGATCTGACCCACTGGGAGCAAAAGCCCATCGCCCTCCGTGCCCGGGGATATGGCGGCAATGTTACCGAGATGTACTTCAGCGGCAGTGCGGTCGTTGATTCGAATAACACCAGTGGCTTTGGCAAGGGCGGCAAGGCCCCTATGGTCGCCATGTACACTTCCTACGTAAGCTTACCCAGCCAGCAAATAGATATCCGGAGAGGAAATGACTGACTCACTTCCTTTTCGCAGTATCCCGTTGCGCAGACTCTACCTAGTGGAAAGACCATTCAGGAGAATCAGCAAGCCCAGTCCATCGCTTACAGTCTTGACGATGGTATGACCTGGACCACGTACGATGCCGCCAATCCGGTCATCTACAACCCTCCAAGCCCATATGAAGACCAGTACAAGGATTTCCGTGATCCCTTCGCCTTCTGGCACGAGGAGTCTCAAAAGTGGGTTGTCATCACTACCCTGGCCGCATTGCACAAGCTTGCCATTTACACCTCCGACAACCTTAAGGACTGGAAGTTGGCAAGTGAGTTCGGTCCTTTCAACGCCCAAGGCGGCGTCTGGGAGTGCCCCGGTCTTTTCAAGTTGCCCCTT